ACTGTATTTCCTGCTTCTTTCTCTTTGCCTATTTTTTTTCCTCTTTACCCAATACTCTATCCAGTCCTCTCATTCCCTACCATCCTTTTGTCCTCTTGGGTATGGAGAGAACGATTTTCTCTAGGGAAGGAGGTCCCCGATGATGGAGCACAGTGTGGTCAGTCTGCTGTGATTGCTGGTTTGCCTTTGCTCGATCCTTCTGTCGGTTGGGTAGGAATGATCTCAACTCTGTGCCAGCACACTGTGAACAGAGTGGGTTCCCCATAAGCACCCTTCTCAGGTTTGATAATTTGCTAGAGCAGCTCACAGAACTCAGGGAAAAAAGCAGTTTACCCAGATCACCAGTTTATTATAAAAGGACACAACTCAGGAACAGCCAGATGACAGAGATGCCCAGGGCTAGGTGTGCATAAGGGCTGGGAGCTTCCTGCCCTCTGTGGGCAAGCCACCCTCCCAGCACCTTGTGTTCACCCACCCGAAAGCTCTCAGAACCCTGTACTCCTGAAATTCTTAGGGAGGCTGCACAGGGTAGGCATGATGGATTAATTACTCAATTTCCAGCCCTTCCCTTTCCCAGAGGGTGGGGCCTGGGGCTGAAGGCTCCCAGCGTGTAACCATGGCTTGGCCTTTCTGGGTACTCGCTCCCATCCGGGACCCTACCAAGGACCTCATTAGAGCAAAGGATGCTCTTCTCACCCAAGAATCAGAAGTTTAGGAGCTCTGGGTCAGGAGCTGGGGTCAGAGACCAATGTACATGTTTTATTCATGCACCTATCTACCCACACGCACCTCGGCTCCTTGCCCTCTGGGTGGAGGACGGTAGGTGAGGGGTCAGCTAGCTGCACTGGTGACTTCCTCTATGGAGCACGCAGCCCCGCTCCCACTGTAACGGCCTTGGTATACCTCTGAGGACTGTAGCCCAGTAAACCCTAGGTCATCCAGTTTCTGTCCTGGGCCTTGTCTTGCCATTTGGTTTCTATAAATTTGCTAACAGCTAACTGCTGATAAGAAGTAGAATTCTCACGTTGGGTTTTTCTTTTTTATATTCAATAGGATTTCTTTTTTTTTTTTTTTTTTGAGAGACTGCTCTGTGCCAGACTCCATGCTCCGTGCTGAGAATAGAAAGAGGAAAAGGCCAGGGCCCCTGATGTTACTGCCGAGCTTGGGAGGCGAATTGCAGCACATGGATGAGTTACGGAACCACATGTGCGGAGAGTGTGAGGAATGGGTGCGGGGTCAGGCGTTTGCTAAGTCATCTCAGCTCCTCCTTAGAACAGACAGGAAGGTGCCCGGTCTCAGTAAAACCTGCCCCCTTACAGTGATGGAAGGCCTGGACGAAGGTTGTTTTTCTAGCTCGGGTCTGAGCTGGTTCCCATGCTTCCCAGTAGAGGGCACTGGAAACCACGGTTAAGTTCTGGGGCATCTGGAAAATTCCTGATGGGAAAGGGTCTTCTTTCAAAAGGCTCTTTCACCTGAACTGTATTTCCTGCTTTTTTCTCTTTGCCTATTTTTCTCTCTCTTCACTCAATACTCTATCCAGTCCTCTCATTCCCTACTACCCTTTAGTCCTTCCCGTGGGTGTGGAGAGAATGGTCTTCTCTAGGGAAGCAGGTCCCCGATGGTGGAGCACATTGTGGAGGCACAGACCCTTTTGCCCACGTCCCTCATTTTAGAAACAATGGCAGGAAATAAAGCAATGAGATGATGCTCATGGGATTTGAAGGAGCTTAAATCTAGGAAGCATATAAGAAATAAAAATATAACACATGTGCCTCTGGGCCTGGGGTGGCAGGTCAAGCTTTCTGTAAAGATCTAAGTCATTTCTAGCGTCGTAAACAGTCGTCACAGGAAAGGTTGGCAAAAATGATTTTTGATCGAAATAATGGATACACACACACATACACATACACATATTAGTAATGCAAGCCTGCCTGTAGTTGGGTTGAAAAGTAGCACTTCCACCCCAAAGAAATATCTATGTCTTAACCCCTGGAATCTGTAAATGTGACTTTACTTGGGGCTGGAGGTG